TGGTTGGTGTGTTGGCTCATAACACCACATCAAAAGCAAAACCATATATTATCAAGGCCGGCATTGGCCACGTGCAGCCCGTGCGGTCGCACAAGGCATCAAAACCTAAAAGGGCATCAAGTTGTCATTTATTATTAGTTTTGGGTTTAATAATTTGGTAATTGAGCAACCGAGCTTTAACTATAAAAACAGGCCCAAGGCCTAGTAGTGATGAATACTGAATGCACATCGTTGGAAAAAGTTGGAAAGTTGGAAAAGTTTTTGTTTGTATAAGTTGGAAAAGTTTTTGTTTGAGAGAGTTTTTTCACAAACGTAAGGAGCGTTTTTTTAGTTGRAAGGGACATGTTTGGAAWTTTTTTTTGGCTTTCTATATAAAGCTCCTCCTAAAAGCTTATTGGATAAGTCACTTTCTATATCATTAAGCCACTACGAAACAGTCATGCATAGTTGAGCGAATAAGCTGTTAGATCCATTAAACTTATTAAGTTGCTAACAGATAGGCCCTTAGCCTTTAGTCATTAGACCTGTAACTTTTGAGTTTTTTACTTTTTGCATACTATGACAATAACTTGGATGTAATTTACGATCTTAGTTAAAAACTAATTATTGTTTTTCTTGTCTTTTAAGTTCCACATATTGAAATAAAGTTTCTATTTTGCTAATTTTAATTTGGAAAAGGTAAAACTGGAAAAGAAGGAATCATGATCTTAATCCAGGATTTATCATTTATATTTTGTATTCGGGGTTTTGGTTTTTATGTTCTTCTCATTGTATTTTTTTATTAATATAATTAATAAAAATCAACATGAGGATGAGATACTTTGTTTGAATAGGTTCTAAATTCTTTAAAAATCGCATGTTTCGTTGTTTCATTGACTTAAAAAATAGGATTAGGGGCATATTTTATTGTTTTCGCACAGGGCATCAAAAATCTTAGGACCGGCCCTGTATATTATCTTATAATAAGTTAGCCAATAATAACATAAAATTACAAAAAATTTGGAACAACTTTATATATGGAAAAACAAATTTAGTTTGAACCATCTCTAATCGGTAAGATACAAACACATGACCCAAAAAAAAATGTGCCTTTAGCCAGGCCTATGACCCAGCCGATTAGCGCATCGGCCAATCCAACCAAGAAAACAGCTGGACCATCGTGACTTGGTGGCCTTCGTACTAGAAAACACCATGGTGGTCCTGGTGGAAGCCTGTAAAGGAACGAGTGGCAACAACCTCATTAGACCGACATTAACCAACGAGTTGCCACTATGGACATCAGCTCTGATCAAAAAGAAAATGACAACAACAACATTCAGGTCAGGGCCCTTGTTGTACCCGTTGCACCATCGAAAGTGAGCTGCTTGGTTCCAGGCCAACAACGGTCTTCAAACTACATCACCAGTCGCTCAACGCAAATCCAACCAACAACGACCAATTAGCAAACCAGTTGCTTGGCACGGTGGCTCGTGACAGTGACATATGATAGAATACCAACACCGGGCGCCTTGAGCAGTGGTGTGGTGAGCTGTAAAAGGAGTAGGAAAAACAACCAAAAACCACTTGGCGTGTGAGAGAACCACCCACGGTTCCAGGAAACAGCAGTCGTAGGTCAATCGCAGTGGTAGTAGTCGCAGGGCGATCGACCATGGAAACAGTCGCGGTGCCAGCCCCAAAATGCGACCTTTCATGGTTTTGCAACAGTCTTATATAGGGTGTGTGTTGATCCTCTCTCTCAGTGATTTGATGATAATCCCTTTTCTCTTTCACGTTGTATTTGTGTTTCTATATTTTTAGTTCCAGCGATCTTCACTGAGTATGTTCAGTGATCGCTGAAGAACTTGCATTGTAAATCTATCAGAGACAGCAATACTTCAAGAAGACAACACTCACACCAAAGAACCTTCAGCAAACGTCGAAGACTGAAACTGAAGATTAGAGACCGGCGAGTACGTGATCTGAAGCGGTATTAAGTGATTACAAGCCTGTCTACATATGTGTGAAGACTGCTCAAGCTTCAGCGGATGATGATGAGACCCTTCGGGTCATTCCAACATTAAGCGATCATAGGAAGCTTGCTTGACACGATTGTTGTTGTCTTGTCCTTATGCACACAAAGGACAAAACCCATACCCTTACAAAAGTTGTACTGTACAGAGCCGACTAATCGACTCTTTGTCCACCAACTTTAGGTAAGGATGTCTGCTCTTGAATAGTACTTTTGTACTATTCACTGTAGCAAAGGACAAACCTTTCTCTTAAGGTTTGACACACACTCTAAACCTACCATATTGCATTAAATGGACATTTAATGCACTGGGTATAAATATAAGTGTTTCTTCTCCATGCAGAGAGCGCGCATCTCTCTCTCTAACCTAATTCTTACTTCAAGCATCTTCTAGATTAAGTAAAAAATCTTTCTTTTAGCAACTTCTTTTCTTGTAATTGCTAAGCATTGTGTGTAACCAAAGATTGTTTAGATAGGTTTTTATTACCTTATCTTTCCGCAAACAATCTTGTAAAATCTGTATTGATCTTCTCTATCAATATATATTTTAAATTTGAAAATACTGTGTTTGTATTCATCCCCCCCCCCTTTCTACAAACTGTTTCTCTTCTTGTAGACCCTTACGGGACCAACACTGTGCAAAATCCGAATGTTCCAAAATCCGAACCCGAACTGAAAACTAGGTATTTATGCAAAACCAGAACCCCAACAAAAAATAAGGTATTTATGCAAAACCCGAATACTCCGAAATCGAAAATCTAAAAATCCAAAAACTAACTTTTCGGGGAAAATCTGATTCGGGTTGGGTCTGATTTTTGGCCACCCAATCCGTCCGAAAACCCGAAATATATATACACATATATTTTAATACTACATAAATATATATTATTTTGAAAATTCTAAAATTCATAGTCGGTGGTATTCTTTTTAATTTCTAAGCATACCATAGATTTATCAATCCTTTAAATCGGTTTAATTTCATCCTCAAAATCGATTGAATATATATAACTTTTGCATTGTAATTCAACTTGATCTCGACCGACCTCAACCGAAACCCGACCATTCCAAAACCGAAGCAATCGGAACTCCGAAAAACATAAAATTCGGGGAATGATTTCCAAATCCGAAATTCGATCGAGTTTTTGATTTTCCCACCCGAACGACCACCCAATGCACACCCCTAGTCTCGAAGACGAACTGATCATAGGGCAGCAGCCCATCGGCGCCTCTATCGGAGACGACACACACAAACCAGCTGCAGGCATCAACTGACGACTGTGAGAACAACAACGACAATGAGGCTCCGTCGATTTAATTAATAGGGAAGGGTCCAAATTAGATTTAATTACCTCTGTTGGGTTTTAAAGAATTTTGTAACCGTTAACACGATGGAAATGAAAAAATTTCATTACAAATTTTATCATAATACTTTTCAGATTGAAACCTAAATGGATCCGATGATGCATTTAATTAAATATAAAACATATCATAGAGTGTTTAAAATTGTATCTTTTAAATGTAGCGGGGATTTGACAGAGCACTTAGAAACCAACGGAGGTTTCCTCTCTTGGTGATCTACACACGAACACGTTATGCGCCTTCACCAGGAGCTATACTAAAAACCCTATATCTTAATATGTATATTACATAAAAGAAAAACTTTATCCTCTGTATATTTTTGTGAAGGCTAAATCTAATTGATTCAATTAGTTAAAAATTGATTTAGGGGCCGTTTACAAAACACTTACTCGGGTAAGCGCTTACCAAGTCACATTACCTTACCGGATGAATATTGTAAGGACTAAGAATCTTACCCGTTAAGAGCGAGACAAGGACCATGAGTCTTACCCGGTAAGTGAGGGCATTCGACTCTTACCACGGTAAGCGCTTACCGGGTGAATTATTGCATACAATGTCGTTTCGATGGACTAAAATCTTACCCGGTAAGTAACTAATAGTGTTAAATTTTACCAGTAAGCACTTACCGGGTAAGTGTTTGGTAAACGGCCCCTTAGTCTATCAATTTATCTATATGATCTGAGTTATAGATAAACTATAATTTAAAATAAGAATGAGTAATCATCAATAACATATATATGATTATCTTAAACTTTAATACATATTTACATGTAACATCGTGTAATTATTATAATTACACGTTCACACATTTTTCATAATTATCATTCGAGAATAATTATTTCTATAACCAACTTGATTTAACCTGAGGTTTTACAAATGGAGGTAAACATATTCTTTATGTGCGAGTGCGACCATATATGTAAGAATATTCTCAGTAGTATTATTATTGTATGACATGTGTCATGTACAAGTAAAACTTACACATATTATTTAAAAATATATATTAAATTAATTAGGAAATTTCTAGATTCTTCATTAATATAGTAATATTGAGAAGACTTGTAGAGTACAAACTATCTCCCTATGTATCATAAAAAAAATATTCATATTGGTATAAAATTAATTATTTAAAATTTCTTTTTTTATATATTTCTTTAATTCATTTTTTTATTATTGTTTTAATAATATAATTATTTATAAGGATAATAATTAAGTATTTTGTCAGAATTCAATGATTATCTTGATTATATTTTAAAATTTTTATATTTAAAATAAGATGTTTATTCTTTATTTGACTATGTTTATCTGTAGATAGTTACACGAATTCAAACATGAAGTCTTAATAAGTTGTATTTACACACAATTTACTTGTAATCTTGAATTTTAAGTAATATACATCAATAAACAGTACTTCATGCATAAAATATAACTTTTAAAATTTTTTATCAAATGTTTTATAATATAATATAGATTTTTTTATGATGTAAAAAACTATCATATTTATCAGGCCTGATCCAAATAAATAGGCTTTCTGGGCCGGACTAAAATAAACCCTAACTGGGCTTCAGTGATAGGCCACAGCCCCACACCCACTGCGTAACCCTAGCAACATAAAACCTTCATCATAGCGGATTAGCGGCTGCCATCTTCAGCAAAACAGAGTAGCAGAGGAGGACGAAGCTCCTGTGCTCTCTATCGACGAACGACATGGTAATCTATTCCTCCTTTTTCTTTACCGTCAGATAGACGATCGTATCTGGTAACTACAAATCGTAGATAGTTTTGTTGTTTTGGATTGATTCGAGGAATCGAAGTTAGCCAACTTCTTTTTTGTTGTTGTTGTTTTGGTTCTAAGAACTCATTAATTTATGCTTCATTATGCGATAGATTGATGAAATTTTTTAAGAGCGTCTACTTTGATATTTGGTACATTTAGGTTTCGAGTTTTATACGGGTTTTTGGTGGTTTTCCTTTTGGATTATTGGTTATCGTTTGTTAAATGATTTTAAAGTTTTGTGGTTAATGTATTGTTCATCTGCGCATCCCACACTATTTCAGATTCCGAGAGATGAATTTAGGTTTGTTAGATGTCAATCGACAATCAATCGTCTGTTGGCCTTATAAGGGTTTGCCTATTTTACAACGACGAAATGCTAGTGTACAGTGCTACGTTTATTTGAAGGGTGAGTGTTATGAGTAGCTTACATTATCTTGGAAATGATATGTCCTGATTCGGGCATTGAATTGGTTTGTATGTGCGCTTGTGCTACTGTTGCAGGTTTTGAGTTGAATATCGAGTTAGCATTGTAGATAAGAATGATATAGTCATGAAACATCCTAGTTAGTGGAAACTCTGGCTGAACAGCACCTTATTTAAGAAATCAGACGCCATGATTGGATCATACATTAGGGCTAATAGATATATGGTTGTCACTGGCTTATCCCTGATACTATGCAAGTTATAGTTCTCTTTGTGAATTTGCCATTAGTTAGTAAAAGTATAATATCCGTTGACAGTTTATTCACTGATTAACAACTTGAACTTTGATTTGTGTCACACTTGGTTTTTGTTATGAGTTCACATATTTTGACTTGAAATGGGCTTGTCTATATTTTTATTCAAACCACTCTTAGAAATGTTTTTGTGCATTCCAAGCCTACCATACTCCACTTATTGTGTTGGGTGCTAATTAGTGCTCCCATCAATCAGGCTTTGAGCTTCTTTTTATCTAGTTGCAACACTGTAAAGAATACCTAACCTCATGGTCTTTGGGATCCAACAATGGTGTTCATGGAGCTCTAAATGGGTGTCGAGTCATTCTACAATACTAATTGCAATTTTTTTTGGTAGTTATAATGCTTTGGTTCCTGGTTTAACTGCATGCTTTTGCTGGTTTTATCGTTTTCTAATTGTTAAACTGATTATAATGGTGTTTTTATCCTGGTTCAGTTCAGTACACAATTTATAGTGTTTCTAACTTTTTGATAAACAATCATGTTCACCCACATATCCCAGTCTCTTTGGCTCTTTCTGTAATTCAGCAAAATATGTCTGATTCTGATATAATTTGTAGTCTGAGATATGCTGTTATTCTGTTTCTATACTTGCTCGTGTGTTTTGCACTTACCTTGTCTGGTGTATATTTTCAATGGACCTCATGAGTTGCACCATATCATTTCTTCTCTAAAGTGCAATTCATGGGTGGGCATGAGATTAAAAGTGATCAAGGTTCAAATTTCTTCTTATGCTTCTCATCATAGCTTTCCCTTCACATGATTTTTCGTCTCAATTTGGATTTACTTGGCCAGTTTTGCTTAAGTTTTATATGATGGTATTGTGATAATATCCTTGCGTGTTTAATTTTGTTTCACAGCCTTCGCACAAGTCATTTATGATCAAGAAGAAGCTCGCGAAGAAGATGAGGCAGAACAGGCCTATTCCTCATTGGATCCGCATGAGGACCGACAACACAATTAGGTCGAAATAACCCTCAACTAGTCGTCAGTTTTCAGGAAGGCCTATGTTTTTGATGTTCAATTTTTAACTTGCTGTTTATTTGATTCAGGTACAACGCAAAGCGCAGGCATTGGCGCAGAACCAAGCTTGGGTTTTGAGGTGCTTTTGCAGTTTTGGAATTCAATCAAAGACTTATGTTTTGTTGTCTTATTTAATCTTGAATCTAATGTTCTATTTGCCCTGGAATTTGATGATACTTTTGTTTGACTTGTACCTTAAATGATGCTAGTCTATCTTATGTTTTAAACGCAAGTTGTTCTTTGAGGTAGAGATGAAGTATGTATACATGTTCTCACTACATGTGCTTGGAATAGTAATTTGCAGTCGGGCTTCGGTCATTTTGATGCAATCCTACATACCAGCCGTTAAAGTCTACGTGGGATGAGTTGTTATGACTGGTAGCTTTGAGCTTAGAAGGAGCTTATAAATCTGATTTTCTATTTACGTGTTAGGATCTAGTTGGTGCTTGCTTGTTGCCCTTTTGATCCACTAGAAGGGTACTTGTACAATACAGTTAGATACATCTTCATTTTAATGTTTTGTTTTATATTTTGGTTTTATTGATGTTATAATGTGATTTTATGTGTTTTTAAGAAAAAGAAAATATTTTTATTTTTGAATGAAATATAAATTTGAAAACATAATAAAATTTTGAAAAAGAAAGGGATATTAATATAAAATTAATTATTTAAAAGTTTGTTTTTGTGTAAT